GTAGGTCACAGTGTCCTATTTTTAAGTCGACCTACTCTGAAGACCCAAAATGCATCAACTGACAAAGTTTGATGATTCTAAACCAATTAGTACCTGAAATATTTAATTATAGTCATATAAATTGAAAAGTAGGTCACGGTGACCTACTTTTCAGTTGACGTTTTTTGAGGACCCAAGATGCATCAACTTACAAAGTTTTATGATCATAGGCCTTAAAATGTCCAAATTATGCCACTAAAACGCTTTGATATCGAATGCCTGCAAAGTTCAAAAAGTAGGTCACTATGACCTACTTTTTAATAAATACGTTTTATGGCCCCAAGATACATCGTCTTACAAGATTTAATGATTCTAAACCTCTCAGTATTCGAATTAATGATCTTAATTGTTTTGAAAAAGGTTAGCCATAAAATTCAAAAAGTAGGTCAAGGTGACCTACTTTTTAGTTGACGTACTCCGAGGAAACAAGATACTTCAACTGACAAAGTTTGATGATCATAGGCCTTAAATTGTTCAAAATATGCCTCTAAATCATTTTGAAAAAGAATGGCCACAAAATTTAAAAAGTAGGTCACTGTGACCTACTTTTGAGTCAACATGATATGAGGTCCTTAGATGCATCAACTGACAAGATTTGATGATCCTAGTCCTTATAGTAAGCAAAATATCAATGTTTTAATAAAATGTAATTTTTGGTCAACTTTGAAGTGACCTTGAGACCACGCCCTTTGCCCCAGGGTGATGCCTTGAACAATTTTTAATCTACAACATATCCTCATCCTTTTGTGTAAGTTTGGTGATAATCTGCCCAGTGAATCTTGAGAAGAAGATTTTTTTGCAACCAGTACTTTTGTTTCTATTTTCCTAATTATCTCCCCTTGTTTAAGGGTCACAACCCTAGTTTTAGTAAAAACGAAAGCCCTTGGGCCAAGGATACCCTGTGACAAATTTGACAATAATTGGCCAAGGGGTTCTTGAGTTATGGCCCATATTCTAAAAAGTTTACGCACACTGCACAAATGGCAATAGCATTAGCTCTTTGAGCCTTTGGCTCAGAAGAGCTAAAAAGAGAAATGTCTGTGAATTACTTTCAAAATGCTATTCCTTCTACAGGTTTTGTCTGAATTTAATATAACTTGGCATGCAAGTAGACTACAGTAAGATAGCCTACATAAATCTGTCAATTGATTTTTGATGAACTATCTTGCCTTGGTTACTAAAAAAAAAAAAATTTTGTGAAATACATGTACTTTCAAAAAACTCCTCCTCCTGCAGTTTAATCCAGTTGCAATAAATATTGCCACAAGAAGAGACTAAACCAAGGATCGTTATTCTATTTATTGCTGTTCCAAAGTTTTGGTCCAATTTCATTATGATTTAGTTCACAATTAGACCTCACTTAGATATATAATTACTCTGTTTTTGATTTCGATGAATGGGGTTAGAAAGGGTGTATTCGTTATAACAAAAGATTTGACCTATAGGAGAGAACAATTTTCCGGAAAAAGTCACATTTAAAAATCAATGTTCTTTAGTTGTTTTCTATCGTATATTTGTCTAAATTTTTCAAATTTGCATTTTGAACCTAATTTTTTTTTTTTATTTGCAACTTTGAAATTAACCTCCAAAGTTGATCGAAACAGTATTTTGTCTGTTAAAGCACTAATTTTTGCATGCATTTTGGCAAAGAAGTCCTTCAGGGCAGGCCTGCCCCTAAATTAAATTATGAAATTTTGATAGATTTTAATCTAAGGAATAATTTAAAACAAGATTTTTTTAGGGGCACCCCTGCCCTAGGGTCGAAATTCGTTAAAAAACCTACAAAAAATGCGAAAACCTATTTCTATCATAGTGGTTTATATCTATGACTTTTGTTTTAATAGTCTGTATAGCTCGGAAAGATAGACCGCAGACTCTCAGTATAAACATTTTTAATGTCCTGGTTCGAATCCACCTGTTGGCATACTTTTGTTTTTTCAAATTTTCACCTGTATAAACACGAATTTAATTTTTTTATTACAGGCTTTTGCATTTTACTTCTATTTGCTTCATTAAATATATATTTGCTGTTGATATAAAATATATTTATGGAAATGAAGATCATAAATTCTCTTTAGCTAAACGCAATCAACCGGAACTATACCTCATTGTAAGCACACTTTGTTCAAGGACATGAATCATTCACTTTGTGTTACTCGATACTGCAGGTGTCATGAAAAAAAATCATGCCGAGCAAAAATTGCTGCGTTTGTCTTTCAAGAACATCTATGGGTAATAGTACTGTTGTGCCAGTGGGAGAGATACTGCGCTATGCAGAGTAGATGCAGTTCATTCCTCGGGAAAATTATGTGTATTGGCGACATTTTATGCCAAAAATGCAGGAGGAAAGTTTACAGATTAGAAAATAACATGGTAAGGTCAGTTAAGCTTTTATGTCCCGTTGCCATTACCCAGGCACCAAGTATGGACCCTCATACAAAGGATGTATCTGTAAATACCGAAGTAGGGTCATATGAACATGCAGTTGACTACAACTAAAGCGATACATGAGAAACAAGAAACTACACCCTTGTGGCCTAAAGTCAGCGACCAGAACGGATATCCATAAGCTTTTTCTAAAGACTGAAACCAATATCGACCCTATAGGTCAACACATATATTTACCTAGAAGTGATCCTTTCTGTGAAATTCTTTCAAAATGCTACTCTTCTTAAAGTTTAGGTCTGGTTTTATTATAACTTGGTACACAATTAGACTACACTTAATAGATAAAACTATTTTTTTTATTTTGATGAAAAGGGTTGCCATGGTTACTAAAATGGAAAATTTCTGAATTTCTTTCAAAATGCTACTCCTCCTAAAGTTTTGGTCTGATTTCAATAAAACTTATACACAATTAGACTTAACTAAGATACATAATCCTGTTTATCAGTTTTTGATTTCAACAAACGATGTTGCCATGATTACTTAAAAGAGAAATTTCTGTATTATTCTTTCAAAAAGCTACTCCTTCTATAATTTTTGTCCAATTACAATTAAACTTGCCACAAAAAGAGACTAAAGCAATGATCATTTATTTATTTATCTCTGTTGCCATAGTTTCAAGTCCTAATACTACTTTTCTCTCAGGTAACCTTGGCTCAGGTGAGCTAACAAAAACAAAACACAAAAATATCTTAGCATTAGAAGTAGAGATTTATTCTTGAAATCTCGATGGACACTTTCTAAATTATGCTAAATACATGTGCAACATATATGTTCCAACATTTAAGTTTTTGAAATCATGAATAACATTGAACTTTTCTTTTAACTGAATATCACAAAGCCTTCCTGTGCATCTAAAGATGCCTCACCAAAAATTAGTGTACTTCTAATTAAATAACTGCTCAATTTCAAATGATTGCAAATGTCTGATGCTCGGGCCATGCTATGTAATAAAAGGTATCACAAACAAGAGGCCCATGGACCACATTGCTAACCTTAGCACTCTGGTTAGAGAAAAGCAGTTAAACATAAAAGTGGTCCCACCTTATCCCTGGAGGGTGATGATTTAAAAAGACTTGCTTCCATATTAAATTGACTAACCATGGCTTTGTTCTTATGAAGATTTTTTAAGAATATTTCCATTTCTATTTGTTTTCTCTGTGATAACTCTTTGAAATTAGTTGAGTTGATTTCTTGGTCATTCTACCGGAATGCAAATTTCGCCAAGCAAAAGGTCAGGAGCTAAGAAGGCCTAATATGCATGTAATTCTCGTGCGGCTGTCTTTGTTTCTGATGCTAAGGAGGTCTAATATGCATGTAATTATCATGCGGCTTTGTGTTTGACGTCAGTGGGTGGGGACGATTGAAATTGACATGTGAGGCCTCGTGTAATTTAAATCTATTAGTCTACATTTTTTAAATCTAAATTTACAATTTTATTTCGCAATGAAATGGAAATATAATTCGCCCGTTATGCATAAATTATCCCACATTTCCAACTATCGTTGATGTCCCTGGCATACTCTACTAACTAGACAGTGATTCCTTAATTATTTTCCTATATATTCCCATGTAAAACTCTAAATGCCTGATGTGGACCCATCCAACACCTGGGGGTCATGATTTGAACTAATTTGAATCTACACTACCTGAGGATGCTTCCATATTAATTATGACTAATGATGGCTTTACTGTTCTAGAGAAGATTTTTAGACATTTCCTATATATTCCTATGTATAACTGATCCCCTGTTGTGTACCCACACTAACCCCAGGGGTCATGATTTGAACAAACTTGAATCTTGAATCTACAGTACCTGAGGATGCTTCTGTATTAATATGACTAATCAGGACTTTGCTGTTCTTGGGAAAAAAGATTTTAAAAGATTTTTCCTGTATATTCCTGTATTTAACTTTGATCCTCTGTTGCAGCCCCTCCCTTATACCAGGGGTCATTTGAAATAAAAATGCATCTACACTATGTAATGAAGCATTTATATAAGTTTCAACTTTTCTGGACCAGTGGTTTTTGAGAGAAACATTTTTAATAAATGCCATTGAATTTTCACTAATTCTTAATTAACTCCCTTGAAAGAGGATGTAGCCCTTCATTTGAACAAACTTGAATTCCCCTCACTGGAGAATGCTTCCTGGCAAATTTGGTTGAAATTTGCCCAGTGGTTCTGGAGAAGAAAATGAAAATGTGTGTTTACCATGACAACAACTACAACAACAGACAATGGACAAATTTTGACCAGAAAAACTCACTTTGGTTCAGGTGAGTTAAAAAAATGTAATACTTGTATAATTGTGTGGTCTACAGCTGAAATCTATATAATAACAAATCAAACATGAAAGCATAAAAATTGTACCAATAAATTTCTTACCTTAATTAAAACAAGCAAAAAAATCTTCATAATTAAATCAATGTTTTATATAAAAAAATAAAATCTCTTAAAATTTTATTTGTTGAATTCCATTTTATTTAGCATAAAAGAGTATATCACATAACAAGTAAAAATCATAAAGGTAACATCATTCACATGGAGTTAAATCAACTAAAAAAGAATTGTAAACAGAGGAAAACTATGGAAAGAGGATTCTGTAATGACACAGGAAACTTTTTTGGCAGATTGTGAATTGTTTCAACACAGTTTTTTTTTTATTGTAACTAACTTTAATAACTTCAAAGTAAGATATACTAGTGCAAAACTTGTAAGCTTGTGATTTGTCCATTATCGAATGAAATAGAATGTACCAGTAATTGTAATAGATAATGCAATAGAAATTTCAGGCCCAAAAACTTTTTTAAAACAAAAAATAATAAATATTAAGTAACTACCATTTAAAACAGTCGTAAGCAAAAGTATTGGAAAATTCAAGTTCCTAACTACCTGTAATATTATTGAGTGTGTGCAACCCTTTTGTTTGATTTCATAAGTTAAATGGACTATTGTTAATTTTAATCAAGAGTCCTCGTCTTCTGTAACCTGGAAGTCTGCTACACTGTCCGTCTTAGACAGCAGTACCGAGTCATCTCCGAGGATAGAACAGAGCTCCTTTAGTCGGTTCTTCATGGTGGGCATTCCTGCCAGCTGTGTCTCCAATCTCTGTTTCTCCTCGTTCAGAGACAGACGAGTATTTGTGTCCAGAGCTTCCATTCTCCAGCCTCCCTCCCCATCAAACTGCAGTAAGTGGGTGTGAAACTTCCTACATTTACAACAACAAAAAAATTCACAATATTATGATTTTACTATGTCGAAAGAAAAAGACTCTTTATTTTAGTTTCTGTCAATGTAGAATTTTCATCATATTGAATACATATGTACTTAAATCCATATTAAACTGACTTTCAAGGGAGGTCATCATTTCTTCAAAGCCTATAATATGCATTTCATCAGATGAGGGTATATGATAGATGAGCCCACATGTGATAATTTATTATGTAAAAAAGTTCTTTCTTGTGCAGTTTCTAATAAAAATTCACAGCAATTTGTAATTTGAAATTTCACTAATTAAGTCATATAAATGAAGGAAAAAAATTCCAAATTGATGTGAGCCAATAATAGTAAAATTGCATGAAATTTTCAAATTCTGAAAAAGAGCATTCTTTCAGAAACAGTAGTACCCAAAAACTACATGTAATTTATACTGGACTTTAACACTTTATTTCACATTCTTTTATTTCTTTAAAAATATAAAATCAGGTTTCCTTCAAAGTAAAACAGTTTGATTACTGACCACAGAGATGGACGATGTGTGATGGTCAGGAGACATATCCCATCATCCTTCACTGCTTGATAAATTTTGCTTTCAACATCAATAGACACAGCACTGGTGCATTCATCCAACAAGGCAAACTGGGGCCTGTTATAACAATAAGAAAACTTATAGATGGTCACTAACAATTGGGATTTCATGTGAAATAGAAAATTGAAAGGTACCACAGGGCAACGCTTACTTGTGATAAAAAATACGGGCCATCCCCATTCGTTGTTTCTCGCCTCCTGACAGGACATCCTTCCAATCACTCTTGGAGTCCCAGCCTAAATAAGATACATTAAAGTTTGAAATTTGATTTAATGGAATAGTGCAATTTCAGCATGGCATCTTTCTCCATGTATTTGCAATCTATATTAAAACCTATAATCATAAATATAACATTCATTTAATCAATATCCATTAAAAACAATGCAAAAAAAAATATTATTAGCTTGCAATTACTGAATAAGAGGTCCATTGCCCTTAACTGTCACATGAGCATCACTCTGCAAGTTTTTCCTGGGCCACACTAAGTGTTCTTTTTTATTGTGTTAATTACAGCTATGTCTTTGTAAAATGTGGGAGCCATCTCCCCTTGGTCCAATTGGGCCATGGTTTAGATAAATTGAATTTATAGACTCCATGAGATTATTTTGACAGAAAAAAGTTTATATTTGGAAAAGTTTTATAATATTCCTTAGAAATAAATACAAATAATCCGATCCTTCCTCTGGCATGATTCTGGCCTGCATACTGATTACTGGACATTATGTTTGACAGTTTGTAACTTTGCAGTTCTCCCCTGCTACAGAGGCTCTGGTTTGAGTTAACAAATCTGCATTTTAAGATGCTGGCATTTAAACTTCACAATTAGCAGTCTCAGACAAGTACATGTACTTCTTGAGAAATAGAATTTTTAAAGATTTCTCATTTATACAGTCAAACTTCATTACTGTAGATTCCTAAATATATATGCGAGGAATAAATTATCGCATAATTACGCGAGAAGCACCACTCGCGAAATAAAATTACTCGCTTTTATTTTTATAGTGCTTTAATGTATGTAAAATCTCTAGATAAATCAACGATTCGCGAATTTTTGTTCTCGCGATTTGACACCCTTGGGCCATTTCGCGATATTAAGTACTCGCGTAAAATAAGGAATCTACAGTATTTCGAACTCGATGGGACCAAGAAAAAACTTCGAGATATCCGAGGATTCGAGATATCGATGGTAAAATACTTAAAGAATAAGTAGTTGGGACTTCTGAATCACTTCGACATATCCATGGTATTCAAGATATCATTGTTTGAGATATCAAAGTTCAACTGTATTTCTATGAAAAACTTTGTACCCCTTAGTAGCTAATTTCTGACCAGGGGCATACTTAAGGACATACCTAACATAGTTTTGAATTTTATTTTCTTATTCCCTTTATAATTGTGTGACTTTACAATACCAAATGATGTTTACATCTCTTCTAAAATAAATTTTGAGCTAAAACAATATACATGTATGTCTGCCAACATTTGTTTTCTTTGAATATCACAAGGATTTTCATTACTTGAAATCTATTCAAAACCCTGGTAATGTATGCAGATTTTTTGTCAAAGAATATCTGACAGTATGATTTAATTTTTGAATTAAGAATATCTTGAAAAATTAACAATAGGTAAGGTAAATTACTTTGAGTATAACCTTAAGTTAAGTTCTGTCATGTCTGAGACAGTGGTTTTTTGTGAAAAGATCCCACCCCATTTTCACTACTTAATAATTCTAGATCTAGCATGGATTGAGACAATTCAATTAAAAAAACAATTTAACATTGATTCTTCATTGCCCAAAAAGTATCTGTGATGAGTTTGGATGGAACTGGTCCAATCTGGAGAAAAAGTTGAAAGTGTAAAAACAGTCAACATATGACAACTGACAAAAACAAATAGCAAAATGTTGCCTGAGAGACTCAGGTGAATATAATAAAATTGATTAGATTTGACAATTTGTCAAAATTTGTCTAAAATGGGCCCAATAAGGAGGGGAAAGAGATACCAGAAAACTAGGACATGGTAGATAAGTCAGCATTCAAACCAGAATATAATGTTGAAACTACAACTCTCCACTGGTTTGATATTTTTTTTTATAATCTTAGAAAAAAATTGAACTTGTAACATTTTTTAGAGCTTTACAATGTTCTTAAAAAGTTATAACAACTCAGAATCAGATAGAGAGAAGCAAAATGTTATATGTAAAATAATCTGAAGTAAATATATCTCAATTCAGATTCCTATTTCTGCATGATGACAGTCACTACACTTGTACCTTCATGAAGTCTACAATTAGACCAGCTTTAATTCTAAATCAGACAGAAACTGTCAACTGTCAAACATGCAATATCTTGACGCAATTTTTCATATCTCATATTAACTTACAGTGCCAGCACAGTGCCATAAACTTAGAAAGCAGTGAAAAGTTCAGGCATATCTTAATGTAGCCTATATTTGTACCTGGTTTTATTCATATCATATGAAAACTGTAAGAGGAGTAGCATTATCAAATAACTCAACACTTTATTTTATTCTAAATCCCAAAGCATTACTCAAAGTGCTCAATCAAAGCAAAAGGCCCAAGGCCATATGAATAGCTTTTCTGATAAGCTGAATAACACTGTCACTCGACACTGTGACCTACTTTTGGAACACTGAGACCCAAAATTAAGGGGCTTTCAATAATTTTGAAGAAAAGAAGTGAATTTATCCAGTTGCTAAGCTATTTAGGATTATATCCAACAGTTTACTTTGCATGTTATTAAACTTGAAGCAGCAAATTCCAATCATTGAAACAGTGATAAATTGCTTTCTGCCGCCCCATTCTAAAAGGGTACAAGTGATTTCGGCACCTGGTGAATTCGGCACCTAACGAAAAAGTGAATTCGGCAGTAAGTGAATTCAGCACCTGGTGAATTCGGCATCAGAATCTGGTGAATTCGGCATCGGAATCTGGTGAATTCGGCACCTATTTGTGTTAATTCGGTAACCGAGTAATTGTTGAGTGTTTTGTTAATATTTTTCATGTGATTAATTGGTTAATTGCTTTTAAAGGGAAAAAAGGTGTTTCGATTTTTTTTTTATTAATGAATAAAGTCATTTTTAAAACAAAAATGCGTGTTTGTAAAGTTTAAATCTTATGAGTTAAAGTTCATCTGTGGAAAACTCAATTAGAAATACTGTAAGTCTAAGACCTTTTCTTTAAAGAAAATTTCGAATAATTCTATAATTCGTACTGAAACGTACAAAATTGAATTATCAGTTTATAAATATATACTAAAATCTCTCTCAGTCTCGCTAAACTTTTGCGGGTATAGAAAAGTTAAAGCTAAAGAACGTAGCATATAATACAGGGTGTTTCAGCAAACATGTCCCGACTTTGCGGTTTCAATATAAAGTTAGACAGTATTAATGTAAGAAAATTTTTGCAAAAATGAAAACCACATAATCAAACAATTTTATCAATATGAAAGTTGAAGTGATGCTGAATCAATTATTTTTTAAGACAGGCATTTTTAAAGTTTGAACTTTAGCAGCAGTTTTCAATTTAACGTCATTTTTATGTGTTCGAAAAAGCTGCCATGTTTTTAAGTCAGCATCCTCATTTTGTCGCTGAAGTCCTGTATGGCATATATTTTGACATCATTTGAAAAGTCTGTTTCCTAGCAAGATGGTTTTCATATGAGTACTACTCCTTTCAAAATCTTATGCACTAGTATTGGTGATTTTGAAGATTTTCTGTTCGTGTTGATTAGTTCGAAACATCCACAGATCAATTTTTGGAGGGAAAAAACCTGATAACCTGATTTTTGAAGATGTAATTGAAACTTCAGTAGGAAAAATATTATGAAATTATTTTATATTGTTTATAACACAATTATATTGTCAGAAAATGTGCTATAAAATACAGTTATAGTTTTGTAAATATTTTATTATTGTGCGAAAATAGAGACATCAAAAGTTGGGACATGTTTGTTGAAACACCCTGTACTAGTAATTATCTTAAGTAGAGAATTTATTATTCTAGTTGTCGTCTTTATATTTGATCGTTCTGCATCTGAAGCAACACCGATCTTGATTTTTTAGTGGAAAATAGAAGAAAATTTAATGGAAGTTTATTTTCAGAATATCCCGCTGTCCTTCGCTTGACAAAAAATGTATATAACCAAGTTTTGAAAAAAAAGCTTGCCCATAATTATTGTACTATTCAAAATTATATTTTTTTATGCCAGCGTGTTGAAATGCTTAAGCGAAAAATTGGATTATTAAGCAACGATTTTTTGACCAGGGAAGACATAATATTGTTTTTCAAGTAGATAATTTTATCAAATGTCCTTTTTGAAATATATAATCACAGCTCATAATTCACAATTTATTTACAGACACCATACCAACAAAATTGTCTCACTCAAAAAAATAACTCTCCTTACTATAATCTGGAAATGTATTTGCATTAAAAAAATCTTTTCAACTTCGGGACAACATTAATAAACATTAATATAAATCTTTAGACGAGAATTAAAAATTTTATATTGTTGAAAATTTAGAACTGTACTGAAACTAAATACCAAATTTGTACCATACCAAAAATCATAGTATATTTTACTTCATAAACTTAATTAAAATGTACTTATTTTTTTAATTACCACTGCAGCCATTAGTTAGCGTAAAAGAGTTTTATAGTTTTATTTTTATAATAAATAAATAAATAAAAATCAATGGTAACTTTTTCCTCTCCGTTGTAAAGGGGGGGGGGGGGGGTTCGGACAAATCTCTATTCAAGATCCGATGTTTTGAATATTGCCTGTTGGTTGTATTTTCTTTAGCTAGAGCTTATGCAATACTGCGCTTCGAGAAAAAAAAAATGTCAAAGGTTATATATACTTCAGTTTTTCTAGATGTTATTCAAGTCTAAATATACATGTAGGCTACAAAAATCCCCAAAGACTCATTATGCTTTGAAAAGGATTTAATGTACAGATGGTAAAAGTTCTTCAGGCGCGTAGCTGCCTATACGCAAATATGCAAGTGCGTACACATCATTTTCAAAAAAAAAAAAAAAACAATTCTAGGGGAGAGAGAGAGAATTATTCAGAGGAAAAAAATCTTAGTACCATCTCCAACAAATATTTGTGTTATACTGTTTCTGTTCAAATTTTAAATTATGATGTCTGTATAATTAAATTTGAAATCTTTCATTAAATAATAATTGCCAAATCCAAATAAATCGTTCATAAATTTGTAATTGTTCTATAATACATTAATGATTTTGTTTAAGGATCTTTGAGAAATTTAGTTTCAAACACATCATTGAGTGTTATGATTAACTAGTACTAATTTTTGATAAAAAAAAAGTACAATAATCATTTTTTGTTAATAATTAACATTAATTTTATACTTGTTGTTGGACATTGAAAGAGAGTATATGATACCAGTATATCGGTAAAATATTTAGCCTCAACTACACATACAATAACTTTCCACGGAACTACATGTATTAACATTGCATTAAAAATAATAATACTAAGTCTTTTTCTTTCTATACAAAAGCGAAATGGCATGATTTTTTTTTTGCCAGAAAATGAATGAAATATTTAGTAAAACTCAGAAGCTTCCAGCTGCTTCGACCCCCCCCCCCCCCTCCTTGCTGCTCTCTGCGTACACTTCACTTCCATTCTGGTTACGCGCCTGTTCTTTCATTTCAATCAAGTAAAATTATTTTCGTTTCCTTCGTATAGTATACTAATTGTTGTGTTTCACATGCTGTTTGAAATGTAATGAATATAACTTAGGCAGCACAACTTTGTTGAATTTCTCTTTCCTTATGGAAAAGAAATTATTTTTCAAATAGCGGCCGGTGCATTTTTTTTAGTTTATAACCGGTCCATACATACCAAACTCTGATAGCAACCGTAACATGAGAAGATCTTGGTTTCGTCCAGAAATCTCTTTCAAAATACACTTTTAAAAATATTTTTATTATATTTACGTATATTTACGTGCACAAGGATTAATCAGAGACTTAAATGAATTGGGGTCACTTTTTGACAGTTTTACAATTTGTTTCAAGTGTCTCCAATATATTTATATCAGCTAGCAGTCGTTCCTTTTTGGAATAGAAACATTGAACGCATTTTTGTTCCAGTAGCAACCGTTTATGTACTACACCGTGAAAATGAAAGAAAGCTGTTTGATAAAGATAATTATCTAAAACATCTTCAAAAATTATAAGTATTTATTATATTCTTAAAAATTGAAAACCGGGTGCCGAATTAACTAGATGCCAAGTGCACCAGGTGCCGAATTGACTAGGTACCGAATAAACCAGGTGCCGAATTCACTTTACGTGGTGCCAAATTAACCAGGTGCCGAGTTTACCACGTGCCGAATTGACTAGGATTCTTCTAAAAGCCCTGCCAAGCAAAGGCATCAATTCGCAGAGTTTGATGATTCCTTTAGGCCCTTTTGGATTCAAACTACAATATTTTACACAATGAATTATGATCAAATTTAAAAAATATAGGTCACTGTGACCTACTTTTGGATTGGCATATTCTTTTGCCTCCAAAGTACATTAACTTTTTAAGTTAGGTGTCCCTACAAAATTTGATATTTCTAAGAATCTTAGTATTCAAGATAATGGTGGGGAATTAATGATCAATCCTCCCCAATGAAAATGCAACATTTCAACCAAAGAGGAAAATCATAAACAAGAGGCCCATGGGCCACATTGCTCACCTGAGCACATTGGCTAGGAAAAAAAGCAAAAATCAGTACAGTATTGAAAAGTTTACAAGGAGGGGGGTGTTGAATTTTAAACTACCTGATGATGCTTTCATATCAATATAACAAATGGCTTTGTTGTTCTTGAGCAGCAGATTTTTATGCCCCCGGATCGAAAGATCCCGGGGGTATATTGTTTTTGTCCTGTCTGTCTGTTTGTCTGTTTATCTGTTTGTCTGTTTGTCCGTTTGTCTGTTTGTCCGTTTGTCTGTCTGTCTGTTGTCAACTTTAACCTTGCCCATAACTTTTGATTGGTTGGAGCTATGACTTTCATATTTCACATGTGTATTCCTTGTGACAAGACCTTCCTCTGGATATCAACCACTTTGACCCTTTGACCTTGACCTAGGAGTTTGACCTACTTTTGAAAAACTTTAACCTTGGCCATAACTTTCGAATGGTTGGAGCTAGGGCTTTCATACTTCACATATGTAATCCTTGTGACAAGACCTTCCTTTGAATACCAACCACTTTGACCTTTTGACCTTGACCTAGGAGTTTGACCTACTTTTGAAAAACTTTAACCTTGGCCATAACTTTTGAATGGTTGATGCTAGGGCTTTCATACTTCACATATGTAATCCTTGTGACAAGACCTTCCTTTGAATACCAACCACTTTGACCCTTTGACCTTGACCTAGGAGTTTGACCTACTTTTGAAAAACTTTAACCTTGGCCATAACTTTTGAATGGTTGGTGCTAGGGCTTTCATACTTCACATATGTAATCCTTGTGACAAGATCTTCCTTTGGATACCAACCACTTTGACCTTGACCTTGACGTTTGACTTTTATTTAAAAAACTTTAAACTTCGCCATAACTTTTGAACAGTTGTATCTAGGTCTTTCAAATTTCACAGGTCTATTTCTCGAGACAAGATCTTTCTTTGGATATCAACATTTTTTATCTTTTGGCCTGGATTTTGACTTGCATTTGAGAAACTTTAACCTTCGCCATAAGCTGACATACGGGGGCATCAGTGTTTCACAAACACATCTTGTTTTCCCATATATTCATTTGTAAAAATTTGATCCCCCATTGTGGCCCCACCCTACCCCCGGGGGCTCTCATTTGAACAAATTTTATTCTACACTACCCAAAGATGCCTCCATATCAATTTGACTAATCATGGCTTTTCTGTTCTTGAGAAAAAGACTTTTTCCTATATATTCCTCTGTAAACTTTGATCACCCATTGTGGCCCCAACCTATCCCTGGGGTAATGATTTGAACAAACTTGAATCTTCACTATCTGAGGATGCTTCCATATAAATATGACCAATCATGGCTTTACTGTTTTTAAGAAGAAGATTTTTAAAGATATTTTCCTATATATTTCTATGTAAAACTTGGATCCCCAATTGTGGCCCCACCCTACCTCCGGGGGTTATTATTTGAACAAATTTGAATCTTCACTACCTGAGGATGCTTCCATATAAATATGACCAATCATGGCTTTACTGTTTTTAAGAAGAAGATTCTAGAGATATTTTCCTATATATTTCTATGTAAAACTTTGATCCCTCATTGTGGCCCCACCCTATTCCCGGGGGTTATGATTTGAACAAATTTGAATCTTCACTACCTGAGGATGCTTCCATATAAATATGACCAATGATGGCTTTACTGTTTTTAAGAAGAAGATTTTTAGAGATATTTTCCTATATATTTCTATGTAAAACTTGGATCCCCCATTGTGGCCCCACCCTACCCCCGGGGGTCATGATTTGAACAAACTTGAATCTACACTACCTGAGGATGCTTCCATATAAATATGACCAATCATGGTTTTGCTGTTCTTAAGAAGAAGATTTTTAAAGATATTTTCCTATATATATCTATGTAAAACTTTGATCCCCCATTGTGGCCCCACCCTACCCCGGGAGGTTATGATTTGAACAAACTTGAATCTTCACTTCCTGAGGATGCTTCCATATAAATATGACCAATCATGGTTTTGCTGTTCTTAAGAAGAAGATTTTAGAGATATTTTCCTATATATTTCTATGTAAAACTTTGATCCCTCATTGTGGCCCCACCCTATCCCCGGGGGTCATGATTTGAACAAATTTGAATCTTCACTATCTGAGGATGCTTCCATATAAATATGACCAATGATGGCTTTACTGTTTTTAAGAAGAAGATTTTTAGAGATATTTTCCTATATATTTCTATGTAAAACTTGGATCCCCCATTGTGGCCCAACCCTACCCCCGGGGGTCATGATTTGAACAAACTTGAATCTTCACTACCTGAGGATGCTTCCATATAAATATGACCAATCATGCCTTTGCTGTTCTTAAGAAGAAGATTTTTAAAGATATTTTCCTATATATATCTATGTAAAACTTTGATCGTCCATTGTGGCCCAACCCTACCCCCGGGGGTCAAGATTTGAACAAACTTGAATCTACACTACCTGAGGATGCTTCCATACAAATATGACCAATCTTGGCTTTACTGTTCTTAAGAAGAAGATTTTTAAAGATATTTTCCTATATATTTCTATGTAAAACTTGGATCCCCCATTGTGGCCCCACCCTACCCCCGGGGGGTCATGATTTGAACAAATTTGAATCTACACAACCTGAGGATGCTTCCACATAAGTTTCATCTTTCCTGGCCCAGTGGTTCTTGAGAAGAAGATTTTTAAATGATGCCATTATTTTTTCACTAATTCCTAATTATCTCCCCTTGAAAGAGGACGTGGCCCTTCATTTAAACAAACTTGAATCCCCTTTACCCAAGGATGCTTTGTGGCAAGTTTGGTTGAATTTGGCCCAGTGGTTCTTGAGAAGAAGATGAAAATGTGAAAAGTTTACAACAACAACAACAACAACAACGACAGACAACGGACAAATTTTGATCAGAAATGCTCACTTGAGCCTTTGGCTTACAGTTGTTTATGAACAAAAACTGATTTGGAATAAAAGTTTGACTCACAAACATGCATACAAGATTCTTCTGCCAATGGACAAAAAATATATCCTTTCCAGTTTAAAATAGATCATCCATGCATTTATCGGTAAGTGTTTAGACATTTCTTGGCTACTATAACAAAGTAATTCATTGATTCAAGTCTCTGTTGCAAATTCTACGAATTCATTTAATCTTATATGACACTTGTTTAAATATGATGAATATTATTGCAAATTTTCCCATCCACTCATAAAGTTGTATTTATAGTGAAATGTTGGTCTACTCTAATTATTTAAATATCCTATTTAGATAGAGCAACAAACTGGATATCAAGACATCTTCATAATCATTAAACACTGACCACTAAAATCTTTTTAAAAACAACAACAACAACAAAATAGATCTACTGCAGTTATTTGGACATTACCTCCTTCTCTCTCTACAATCTGTTGTAGGTTGACAACCTTGAGAATGTCCTCTAAGTGTTTATCTGTGTAACCCTTCTCCTCCATATCCTCACGTGTATCAGGGTAGATCACCTGGTCTCGGAACGTCCCCAGTGACATGTAAGGTCTGAAATAAGACTAACACATTGGTGGGTGTTCATGCAATTTAAAGAAAATCCTTTTAAAACAATTAACAAAATGTAAATTAAATGTAAACCAGTTCACCCCTGGTGTACATCATTTTCTCAATCTAAAAATTAACATATTAAACAATGTGAATTCTGCATTTAGTAACTGTTCACAAAAATTTTATTTTAAACACATACATGTAAATATTCAACAGAAACCTTGCATCCAACGGATTCTTGGTTTTGTCATTTTTGTAAAGATGTTGTTAACTTGAAGATGATTTATATTATATCTACGAATGTTCTATACATGAAGTTATAAGAGAAAAGTATATCATCCTGACATTCATTGTATATGTAGCAAATTTAATTTTGTGATTCTTTTTTTGTTGTTGAGTTTATCAGAAACATATCTATGGAATGATGTTACATTTTTTTTAAAACTTGATATTGGTAACTGGCATTTTTATTAATTGAAGCATTCAATTTGGCAGGTGGCCAGTTCTTAGGGAAGACATTGAAAGAAATTCATTGTAAAGAATTGTGTAATCCTAATGGTGTTGTTCAAGCAAGGAAATTATGTGAACATTTACATGAATGCTTCAAACTATGCTCTTAAAGTAGAATACAAACTGTGCAATAGCCATAATTTGATATGAGTTCCCTGTGGTTATATATGTAAATAGTACTAGTTTGCATGCATATTCTCAGTATTTACATACTCCAAGTTATGTAAACCTTATAACCTTAACTAGAAGAGTGATGTGGACAGACCAGTATATTGACAAAAGGTCCAAGGGCCACAATGTTCACCCGAATCACCTTGGTCCTCATTCTTCCATAAGAAGATTAAAAAAATCCAACTTTATTCACCTGTAAAATTCTTACTCCATATTATGGTCCCATCCTAGCCATGAGAGGGCCATGATTTGAACCAATCTGTATTTGCACTACCTGATGATGACTGCATCTTAATATTACTAATCACTGTGCTGCTTGTTCTTGAGAAGAAGGTTTGTAAACATTTATTACTGTAAATCTCAAGTAAAACTTCAATCCCCTATTGTCAGCCCCCTACACTGGGGTCATGATTTGAACTAACTTGTATTGTCACTGAGGAGGACTGCATCTTAATATTACTTATTATGGCCCACCTATTCTTTAGAAGATTATATATATTCCTATGTAAAATTTTGATCTCCTATTGTGGCCCAACCATATAACAGGGGGCCATGATATAAACAAACTTATATCGCACTAAATGAGGATTACTGCATCTCAATATAACTAATGAAGGCCCTTCTGTTCTTAAGAAGATTTTAAAAATGTTTACCCTAGGTAAAACTTTGATCCCTTTCTGTGGGGGTAAAGATATGAACAAACTTGAATCTACCCTTTGTTAGACAGCTTCAAAATGAATTTCATCTTTTCTGGGTCAGTGGCTATTAAGAAGAATATTTTAAATTGATTTCTTAAATATTTCCCCTTGAAAAAGGGTGTGGCCCTTCATTTGAACAAACCTGAACCCCTTTAACAAAGGATGCTATAAGGCAAGTTTGGTTAAAATTGGCCGCCTGGTTCTTGAGAAGTTGAAAATGTGAAGAATTTACAGATGCAAGGACAGGCAGACAGACATCACAAATAATTTGATCAGAAAAGTGAGACTTCAGCAGAGGTGAGCTGACAAGTACCTAGCTGTTTACCTCTGAGGAATGTAGAACATTTTACTTGGGGGAGGTTTGTACAATTTTCCTCTGTATGCTGGCCACAGTCCACTGAGAATTCGGAACAAAGAAGACTTCCCACAACCATTTGGTCCTGTTATCAGCAAATGCATGCCTGGCTCAATCTGTCAAAAATAACAAACCAAATATATAATCTATAGGGTGTACTAGGAAATGCACACTTGACAGCAGAAAAGTTATTATGTATTACAATAAAATTCCCATTGAAAATGTCCACAACTCTTTATCTAAAATTTAAATGAAAATTTTCAAACAACAGGCCAGTGGGCTCAGCTGAGTCACCTTGTCTTTGCTATTCTTCAGAACAAAATTTTTAAAAGATTTTATCCCCCTTTACTCCTATGAAAAATGGTGGTTGCATACTTTGGCCCCATCCTAGTTTAAAGGAGTCATGACTTAATTTAAATCCACACATAATTCGGGATGCCTCATATGAATATAATGAATAAATCTACTGTTTTTGAGAAGATTTTCTAAAAGATTTTATCCCCCTGCATACATGATATGAACAAACTTGGTTCTCCACAAGCTGAAGATACATGTACTTCAATGCTTGTTAAAAAATATGAATATGACTGATCATGGACCTGCTGTTCCTCAAAGAAAATTATTAATGATTTTCCCCATCTATTTTTTTTATTAAATTTGACCCTCACTGTGGTCCAACCAAGCCCTGGGAGTCATGATTTGAACAAATTTAAATATACACTATATATAAATGAACATTCATGCAGGTTTAGTCTTTTCTGCTCCAGTGGTTCTTGGGGAGAAGATTTATAAATAAACCTACCATATTTTATTTATTTCCTTACTATCTCCCCTTGAAAGAAAGCATGGCTCTTCATTTGAACAATTTTGAATTTTCTCACACAAAGATGCTTTGCAGCAAGCTTGGTTGAAATTGGTCTATTCTAGAGAAGTCAAAAAAGTGAAAAATTTACAGAATACAGAGGAATGTTGCATACTCTTCAATCAGATAAGCTCAGATGTGAGCCTTTTGCTCAGTTTAGCTTATTAATGACAGCTTTAAGAGAATGGGCTAGGAGAGAGAGCAAAGACAACACAGTTGTTCAAAGCTTTAGATAATACGTACCTTCAGTGTTAGACTGGACACAATGACATCTCCATTGGGTGTGATAATGGGCAGATCCTCAATGTCTATTGTTGCATCTGTGTCCATTACATGTCCTGTACCAGCATATAAAGTCATGTTTATTCAATATTGGAGCTAGGCATTTTGAGAGATGTTTACCATTATGTATAGACTACACACTATTGGTGGAAAGACTTTATCCAAAACAGTAAATGTATGAAAATTGTGAATTTTTGTATTTTCTCTATATAAACTGTAATTTCATGAAATGTACTGCCATTATACCTCCAAAATGGCCAATATGCAAATGAGCAGAATTAACACCATTTCTCCATATGGTGGTATTCTAAATACTTAAGGCCAAAAAAATTATCTTCAGTTTTTGGGGCCAAAAAATTTAAAATTAAGTTTTTTTTTGTTTTTTTTTTTTAAAGTGTTATCTTTTTTTTTGTCAGTCAACAATACATGCATGATGATATCAGCTTATTCTTATTTATTTATTTTTGATACTCTTCAATATATTAATTACAATATGTATACAACTTCCATTAATTTTTGTCCAGGCAGTTTTATAAGGGGTTTAATATATTGTTTTTACAAGTTAGAAATATATTTTATATAGTAAAAGCATCTTTTTATTAGAAGGTATGAAAAAAAGAATAACTCAATTTTCTTTTTCATCTTGGAAAAAAATATAAAATTGAGTCATTTCCCTTTTCAATATGTCAAAAAAAATTGATCAACACAGGTGTTTCATCTGATGTGGCTGAGAAACTATAGACTAATTTTTTGGGGGGCCTAAATACTCTGAAGGAAGAGTTTTACTGACCTGGAATGTTTTTATGTTTTATGTGGAGCATACCTGATGATAAAAACTGACTATTTTGACAAGCAAACCCCGTTGCAAACAGCCGATAAAAATAATAAGAAAAAACATTTCTTATTTCATTGAGGCAGGCAGCAATTCTAAACAATCAATAATTTTATTTTTGCAATAAAAGTCAACAGATGACAAAATATATGCCTAACCTACCCATGATTTCCATTGGTCCTGTTATCTTAGCATGTTTTGCCTTTCCAGGAACTGCCTTAGTTACCATGCTTCTTTCATACTTTCCCTTGTTAACATCTTCAAACACCTCAAACATTTCTGTGACCCTGGCTGTGTAGCCTGCCAGCTCAGTGATCTATTAAGATTTCAATATCAAAAATAAGAAAAAAACATGATTAAATTTTTTCTCCAAATTGACACTACTACCCAAAGTTAATGCATGTAAGAATCTAATTTGTAGTGATACACATACTGTGGAGGCAGTACTAAATGGTCTAATAGGTTAATGTCAGAAAGAATTCTTTATAACTAGTCTAATACCAGCACTGTCACTTGAGATTGCATATCATGTCTGTGTCCTATGAGCAATTGGTATATTATATCAGTTGAGATGTAAATGGCTACTGGCTTATGAATGTTAGGCATAATATGCAATGGATTGAGGTACCAAATAAAATGTGTCTAAATCACTCTCCTTCACTTAATCCATTCAGATTTGTTTGAAAATTTGAGCCTTCAGTATTTAACTGCATGTTGACAGTACAGTTACATGTAGAGCATACCTCTTTGTAAGAAGACATCATTCTTTCTATGGCATCAGCTGAGTTTATCAACAGATTTCTGGCAGTGGTGAAAACCTTGGTCCTCTCACTCACACCTCCATCTGGGTCATCATCCACAGAAGATCCTAGCATTTATAATGATTACATTTCAGGGATAGTAATGTGTTAATAAATATTGCACAGTCTATCAGACACAAGGAAAACTCCAAATGGAACTTATTTTAATTTGCCTACCATCAGCCCTGATCCCGCCACCTCTTGCAGACATGATTGGGATGGCCACCATGATCAGACCACTAGCACTCCAGCCATACTTCATTAGAAACTGCTCTAGCATGATATACCATAGCCTCTTCACATAAATCAAGTTTGTTTGCCTAGCTAAAGCTCTGTATGCTTTTTCCAGTAAGTTTTGTTCAACCTATTCAAAACAATGCAAGGGACATCTACACCTCAACTAGTACATTTGAAAATTTTATGATATTTAATAGCTAAAAAGATTAACATGATATAAAGAATACAAGGCTCACCTCAGCAAATGTTATCTTTAAGTTAGATAGTGTTGTACTGAATGAATGTTCGGGTAATGTGCATCCCTACATGCACATTCATGCAAGTTAAGGTTTGGTAGAACTTAATATAGCTTCTTAGGACTAGACCTGCTTAAAATACTTGTTTTGATCACCTAGAAAACATAGGTCAGATCATCCAGGTTAGTCAGATGCTTCATGCAAAGCATGTCTAGTATATGTGCATCTCGTAGATGCATCATCTAAGCAAGTTTGGTCCATGTATGCCTCATAGTTTATAAATAGTTGAGAATGGACCTGCTCAAAAACTTTAATCTGATCCCCAAAATTTAGGCCAAATCCAGCATCTGAAGCATGCCTGATAATGTGTATCTCTAGATATATCATCTATGCAAGCTTGGTCTCAATGGGGCTTATACTGATAATTACTTGGAAATGGATCTGCCCCAAAAAATTTTACCTGGTCACTTATCCAGAAAATATAGGCCAGATCCAGTATCTGAAGCATTTTGGCAGTGTGCACAGAAATGCATCATCTATGCTAGTTTGATCTTTATGCAGCTTATATGTACTTGGGAATGGACTTACTAAGTTTGCAAGATCTGGCTTCTGAAACATGTCTGATAATGTGTGTCCCTAGATGCATCATCCATGCAAGTTTGGTGACCATAGGGCTTATAGTTACTTACTAAGGAATGAACCTGCTCCAGAAACTTACATCTGGTCACTCATCCAGCAAATGTAGATCAGATCCAGAATCAGAAGCAAGTCCAGTAGTGTGTATACCTAAGTGCATCATCCATGCAAGTTTTTCTAGGTAGGGCTTATAGTTACTCGGAATAGATTTGCTTTTAGTACTTTAACCAGGACATCAACACGTATGACAATGCCTATGTTAGGGGAATAGCATATTAAGCTCATCCTGACTTCATAGAAGTGAGCTAATAAATACAAATACCTTATGTCCTCCATAGAAAGCAATTTCTTCTGCATTTGCTATGATTCTTGAATGGATATATCTCAGATATCCTTTTCTATCTGCTTCCTCTGCTACAAGCTTTCCAAACTTTGGAGAGACAGCCTTCAAAATTTGTGCAGTGATAATTGTTACTACAGTGGCAATGATAGTGGGCCATTTTGAACTGGCACCTCTACTACTGGCAAAGGAATATAGCGTAAATGATATCAGGGCTACGTCCAACATGGGTTTTGTTAAGTGTGAATACAGGTGGGCCAAAGACTGGGTAAACATACTGATGTCATCTGTCAGACACTGGTCAGCATTGGCTAATCTGCTGTCCAGATTGCTGACACGGAAGTAAGTCTGATTTGAGAAATATTGCTTGTAAGCATGATTGACTAGACGAGTTCTCAGCATGAGACCAAGTTTGCTTTCAAGGAATCGGATAAGACTATTAATAAATGTGGCAGGTATAGCAATTAGGAGCCACTGTGTTAACCTCATAAGAAAACTTCTCAAGTCCCGCTTTACGATTGTCTGTACTATACGACCATCCAGTGTTGCCACATAAATTGATAAGAAAGTTCTTGCAAACAACGTTCCAGTGTGAAGTACTAAAATCCCGAATTCCCTCGACCATATTGATGGAATAATTATTTTCAATAAATACCGTAGCTGCTGGTAAAATATGCGATCAACGTTATGAGAAGCACCTGATTTCTTTTTTGTAGAAGTATTTTTCTCCAGATTATTTAAAACTCTCTCTAGCTTTCGTGTTTTTCTTGTCCTTAAAATCTGCCACAGCTGAGGCCAAAGTTTCTTCACTCCATATGCAAATACGACACACGCTGCCGCAGTGGTTGCTAACTGCTTACGCGTTGGTTTAGTGAAGGTCATTGTTGACACCATATTAGACATTTCCACTCTATTTTAGAAATAATAAAGTCATTTTTCTCTCCCTAAATTTCACAACATGCTATTGATTTTCGTCTGTCCTGTCATAATACGGTGTCACGTGAGAAGTCACTTAATTGACCTTTGAAACTGGAGAGTTCTTTCCGCTGTCAACATCCGTCGTCTGCAACGAATGAACAATGAATTGGATGGGAGGAGCTCGTAGTCGTATAAAGCAACAAGGAGACAAGAAAATTCAAAAGGTTTGATAAATTATAAAGGGTATTGGACGGGTGAATTCGACCTACCTGAAATAACCATTAATTCTTCTTAATTTTAATGTTGTATAGTTGTGCTGCTAAATACCACGGATCAGGTCCAGTCCAAAGACTATTTCTACCTACGTAGCTACTTACAGCTACCTAGGTATTTAAACCTACTCCCAGGGTTCTCATTAATATTTAGAGTAGTAGGAGAAAAAAGAAAAAGTAGGGGTACTTGAGGGCTGAAGGTCCGAACTGAGGGCCACGGGCACGAGGGGGGGGGGTCTGAGAGGGGTTTTTCCCCCTTTCGGCAATAGGGGGTCCTTTTTGGAAATATGGCAGGAGATGGCATCTAGGACCTCTCTGTGCATATTTTGACTTGTTTCTCAATACGACACTTTTTAGGAGCCCATTTTGCCCCCCCCCCCCAAATCTCAAGAACTGGCGCCCAGAACACCAATGGACCTGGGTTTGAACCCATCGAGGGACAGGCATCTTTTTACTTTTTAAAAAATGAAAATAAATCTATTTACCAGTCAGATTCTATGACAACACATCGGAGTCAGTATTCCACAATGGATTGTCTACACTGAAGACTGACAATTGCAAAAAAGACAGACTGAAATCTCTTTTGGAGGATTGTTGAAATAATATTTCTATATAGAAATTTCAGTTTCATTGTTCATTTGAGGGTTGGGGGAGCCATTTCTCTTTGATTGTCAGATTCAATCACAGTCTTGTACTAACTGGGGATGTTTTCTTTGCAGGCAAATGCATGACCTTTAATGCTAGTAGCAAATAAATTAAGCTGACCACTGTAAGATTTATTTACCTCTTTATAGTCAAGCTACAAAGCATGCAACACATGCATTCCTTGGAACCCTCTAGTCTGAGATTTATTTGAGTGATTTTTCTAATTTATCTATGATGTTGATGTGACTGTGAGGCATAGAGAAGGCACCTATTAGTAAGTCTTTAGCATCTTTGAGTTTGATTTTAATCCAGTCTACAATTTCAGATTCTTTGACATATTGTGGCTGTTTTGTAGCTATTGCTTTTAGTGACTAGGATATACACTACCCTTACCAATTTGGCAAAGTAATTTCTTTCTGCAGTTTCCATGGATTAAGGCATGGACTAATTCAGAAACATGCATGCATTTAAGGATTATATAAATTCCCCTCCTAATGTGCCATGTCTCTTTCATTTCAGAAGAAGGTAAAGTTGTCAGGAAAGACTTCTGATGATTTTTGATGGAATCTTTCACAGAGTTTTTACCTGGTTTTATTCCCTAGAGCCAGGATTCAGTTCACAATTATGACATCTGGTTTATTGTAGGATACTGTTGTTTTGAATTCTGATGTTTTATCAAGAATACTTCTGCAATTTACAATAATTTCCTCTTTTTTAGCTCACCTGAGCCAAAGGCTCAAGTGAGCTTTTCTGATCAAAATTTGTCCATTGCATAAACTTTTCACATTTTCACCTTCTTCTCAAGAACAACTGGGCCAATTTCAACCAAACTTACCACAAAGTATCCTTGGGTAAAGGGGATTCAAGTTTGTTCAAATGAAGTGCCACACCCTCTTCCAAGGGGAGATAATTCAGATTTCATGAAAAATTAATGGCATCATTTAAAAATCTTCTCAAGAACCACTGTGCTTGAAAATATGAAACTTATATGGAATCATTGTGAGGTAGTGTAGTTTCTCATTTGTTCAATTCATAACCCCTGGGGGTAAGTTTGTTCAAAACATGACCCTTGGGGGGAAGGGTGGGGTCACAATGGGCGATCAAACTTTTACATATGAATATATAGGGAAAATCTTTAAAAATCTTCTTCTCGAGAAGAGCAAAGCTGTGATTGGTCATATTTATATATGGAAACATCTTCAGGTAGTGTAGATTCAAATTTGTTCAAATCATGACCCCTGGGGGTAGGGTGGGGCCATAATGGGTGATCAAAGTTTTTCATAGGAATACATAGGAAAAATCTTTAAAAATCTTCTTCTCAAGAACATAAAAGCCATGATTGGTCATATTTATATGTAAGCATCCTCAGGTATTGTTAATACAAGATTGTTTAAATCATGACCGGGTGGGGGGGGGGGGGGGGGGGTAGGGGTCCCACAATGGGGAATCAAAGTTTTACAGAGGTATACATCGGAAGATCTTCTTCTTGAGAACAGCAAAGCTGTGATTGGTCATATTTATACTTTTCAATACTGAACTGACTAATTTCCTGCTTTTTTTGTAGCCAAAGTGCTCAGGTGAGCGATGTGGCCCCAGGACCTCTTGTTGGTAGTTGTTATGTTGAATTGTCAAATTTTTACTACTGTTACCTGCTGTGTGAACTTTTTGGTGTTGTATTTGACCTGGTAGGCTTTTTGCGTTTGGTTTTGGACTGCTTGTTTTTAATGGAGTAAATCAGGATGTAAGTGAGTATGAAGTAAGTGGTTCACAGTAACTGATATTTTCAATCTCGTAAGATCGCACTTGCAGCAAATCTATTAGATGTTAGAGTTTGTAAGAGTTCATAGTCCATTGTGCATGGCTCAGTACAAGAGAGAGTGATAGTGCCAGATGCTGCAGCAGTCACAACATATGCCTTCATTAGACCATGTGACTGGTCTTTCGCATAATCCACATGGGCAGCTCTGGGTCCTGGATTGACCTAAATGTTTGTTTAATAATTAGGGGTAAAATTGCTGTATGCGATTTGTTTTTAGCTCACCTAATCTGAAAGCTCAAGTGAGCTTTTCTGATCACATTTTGTCTGTCGTCCATCTGTCTAGCTGTCTGTCTGTCCATCTGTCTGTCTGTAAACTTTTTCACATTTTAGACTTCTTCTCAAGAACCACTGTGCCAATTTCAACCAAACTTGCCACAAAGTATCCTTGGGTGAAGGGAATTCAAGTTTATTCAAATGAAGGGCCAAGCCCTCATTCAAGGGGAGATAATTCAGAAATAGTGAAAATTTGGTGGAATGTTTTAAAAATCTTCTTCTCAAGAACCACTAGGCCAAAAAAGTTAGGAAACCATCTTTACATAGTGTAAATACAAGTTTGTTCAAATGATGACCCCTGGGGGTAGGATGGAGCCACAATGGGGGATCACAGTTTTACATACATGTAGGAAAATGTTTAAAAATCTTCTTCTCAAGAATATAAAAGCCATGATTGTTCACATTTTTTAATGTAAGCATCCTCAGATAGTGTAAATTAAAGTTTGTTCAAATTATGACCCCAAGGGGTAGGGTGGGGTCACAATGGGGGATCAAAGTTTTACATAGGAATACATAGGAAAAAATCTTTAAAAATCTTCTTTTCAAGAACAGCAAAGCATTGTTTAGTCATATGATATGGAAGCATTCTCAGGTAGTGTAGATTCAAGTTTGTTCAAATGATGACCCTCGAGGGTAGGGAGGGGCCACAATAGGGGATCAAAGTTTTACATAGGAATTTATAGGAAAAAAATCTTTCTCTCAAGAACAACAAAGCCATGTTAAGTAATATTGATATTGAAGCATTCTCAGGTATGTTCAATTCATGACCACCGGGGGTAGGATGGGACCACTATGGGCAATCAAAGTTTTACAAAAAAATATATAGGAATTTTTTTATAAAGCTTTTTCTCAAGAACAGTAAAGCCTTTTTTAGTCATATTGATATGGAAGCATCATCAGGTTGTGTAGATTCAGATTTATTCAAATCATGACCCCCGTGGGTAGGGTTGAGTCACAATGGGGTATCAATGCTTTACATAGGAATATATTTTATTTGTTTGTTTATTGTTTGACGTCCCTCTCGAGAATTTTTCACTCATATGGAGATGCCATCACTTGCCGGTCAAGAGCTGCAAATTTTGACCTATACTGGGCACTTGGGGCCATTGTGCAGTGAGGCATCTTTTTTGTGCCAGCACCTACAGCGACACCGGACCTCAGTTTATACGGTCACATCCAAAGGACCGGTCTCCATGTCCCACAGTGGGATTTGAACCTGCGACATAAGGATCAAGTCCTTACTCTGCGACTCTAGAGCGAACGCTCTAACCACTGCGCCACTCGGGTGACACGTACATGTAGGAATACATAGGAAAAAATCTTTAAAAGTCTTCTGTTCAAGAAAGCAAAGCCATTAGTTATATTGATATGGAAGCATTCTCAGGTAGTGTAAAATTCAAGTTTTGCCCCTAACCCCTAACCCTAACCCCCCTTCTAAAATTTTCATTACTAAATTAAACTGATTTGTGCCTTTTCATAGCCAATGTGCTCAGTTGAGTGATGTGGCCAATGGGCCTCTTGTTTGTTTAAGTTCTGTATGTTTCTTTTTGTTTTTTTTTTAAATTCTTTACAAGATCTGTTCTGAATATGGGGTAGTCGGTTTCTTCTTGATTTAGTTAAAAAGTGGAGTGCAAGGTTCAATATTTCCATTTCTATTAATTTTGTTTTCTCTGTGATAACTCTTTGAAAGTTAGTTGAGTTGATTTCTTGATCATTCTACCGGAATGTAAATTTCGCCAAGCGAAAGGTCAGGAGCTAAGAAGGCCTAATATGCATGTAATTCTCGTGCGGCTGTCTTTATGTCTGACGCTAAGGAGGCTTAATATGCATGTAAATCTCGTGCGGCTGTCTTTATGTTTGACGTCAGTGGGCGGGGACTATTGAAATTGACATGTGAGGCCTCGAGTAATTTAAAATCTATTAGTTTACATTTTTAAAATCTAAATTTAGAATTTTATTTCACAATTGCAATGAAATGGAAATATAAGGAATCACTGTCTAGTTAGTAGAGTATGCCAGGGACATCAATGATAGTTGGAAACGTGGGATATTTTATGCATAATGGGCTTCGCCCGTCATGCAAATTATCCCACGTTTCCAACTATCGTTGATGCCCTGATATACTCTACTAACTAGACAATGATCCTTAAATTAATATAATCCTGATAATAGCTTAATCTGTAGTTTTTGATATTTAAACATAAACTTTTCAGCAATTTTTCGAAAGGAAAAGATTAATGAAAAGAAATGAAAATTTGAACCCAGGTTTTCAAACACCTTTGGGAAGAAAAAGTGCCATTAGCCAAGATATAAAATCTTTCTGTCTACTAGAACAAATGCATTCAAGTTCTAAGGAAATGTTGTGTGAGTATGCATAATTTATACTAGCAGCTGTTTTATCATGCTTTAAGGTACGTAATTCCACCCTAACAATTTTATTTGTTCAAAGCAGAAAAAGTGCTTTTATTTTTACTAGATATAGCCTAAATTTATTAATTAATAATCACAAAAAATGTATAGGTTGCCATATTTTTCAAGATGTCAGACATAAATAAACAGAGGTATATGTCAGCCTAAGAAAATCGTACATTTTTAGTAAACAATATTATTGAAAGTACATAAAAAATAACTGTTACTTTATAAATATGCATGAATTATGACAATCAGGGAAACCAGAAGTACAATAAAGAAAATGCCTGAATGAAGATACATGAGAAGGAGTTATTGCCCTTAGCACCAGTTTTAGCTCACCTCAACCGAAGGCTCAAGTGAGCTTTATTGTCTGGTGTCCGTCTGTCGTCTTTTCACATTTTCAACTTCTTCTTAAGAACCACTGGGTCAATTTCAACCAAACTTGCCACAAAGCATCCTTGGGTAAAGTGGATTTAAGTTTGTTCACAGGAAGTGCTGTGCCCTCTTTCAAGGGGAGATAATAAAGAATTTGTGAAAATTTGGTGGCATCTTTTAGGAATCTTCTTCTAAGAAGCACTGGGCAAGTAAAGATGAAATTTAACTTATGTGAAAGCTTCATTTCATACTCTAAATTCAAATTTCTTCATATCATAACCCTCGGGGGTAGGGCGGGGCCACAAGAGGGGGTCGAAATTTTAAATAAGAATATATATGAAATGTCTTTAAAAATCTTCTTAAGAACAACAAAGCCATGATTAGTCATATTATAACAGAAGTATCCTCAGGTAGTGTAGATTCAAATTCGTTCTAATCATGACCCCTGGGGATGGGACAAGGCCACAACAGGGTCAAAGTTTACCATAAGAATAAATAGGGGCTACAATGAGCGATCAGATTTTTACTTAGGAATACATAGTAAAAAAATTTCTTCTGTTTAATAACAGCAAATCCATGATTATTAATATTGATAAGGAAGCAACCTGAGGCAGTGTAAATTTAAGTTTGTCTCCCCCTTAAATACTGAACTTCTGCTTCTTCCTAGCCAGTGTGCTCAGGTGAGCAATATGGCCCATGGGCCTCTGGTTTAAATATTAAATAATTGACTAAGTATAGAAAATATTTAATTGTAAAATTCTTTCACTAAACAATATTTTTCGTTACACCTATTGAAAAGCATTCTTCCAACAGATTTATTTCTATTGGGTATGAATTTAAATTTATAACAGATTTTGCAAATTAAAACCTATGACATCACAGAAGGATGGAAATACCTTAAACAATTTATGTCATCCTATTTTGATAAATTATAAGCTGTAAATAAAAACAGTTTCAGATGATTAATCCTTTGATATAAAACCTCAGGTGACATCTTGGCTAAAGAGGAAGTGTATTAGCTTTAAGAGATTGTCTCAGAGAAAACCAGGCAAACTGAAAAAAATATTTATGGGGTCTCCTAAACTTCATACATAAAGATATAATTTGAGGGGGGAGGGGGGGTAAACTTTCAGATGTGTTTTCATTCAAATATTTTTTTATCATGATTTGTACATGTAGTTCATGTAATTAAAATTAAAGCCGTAAACTTTATTTTTTTTAAAAAATTTCCCTATGCAATACTGGGAAGAGTTACTTCCCTTTGGTAACTCTGCTGTAATGTACTTGGAAAGGTTATCTAGGGTTACCAGCTGGTTACCTTCTGTAAGAAAAACTAGCTTAGAACTAAACAAATGATAACTGTAGTAGAAAAGTAAAGTGTTATGAATAGAAAATAGATTAAAGTAATTTTTTGAAAGATTATTTCAGTTGGATATAGTTAGTTTTCGATTGACACGATTTCAGCCAGAGTTATTTCCCGTTGGTCGCTGTATTGGAGGTCAATACTTCTTATTCACCCATGACAACATCCGGTTTTAAAACGAGGCTCTCAGCGCAAACAAATATGTCGGCATATCATTGTTGTGTGCCACTTTGTACGAATGATTCTCGTTATGACGAGAAGAACCTCTTGTCGTTCCATCGATTTCCAAGTGACAACGAATTAAGAAAAGAATGGATCGTCAAAATTCGCCGTGATATAGGACGAAATAATTTCCAGGTAATGCTTTCATTTGCATCTATAGGGCAACTATCACTATGCACTCGTGTAGGCCTGTATCGGTACATGTTTATGATGCATGATGTGGCACATACAAACATGACAACCACAAACGAATTTGATTTTTTCGTTGAAGAAATGTGTTCTGTTATAATTAATAATTTATTTCTATGCGGCTAACGCATTAATATTTTAAATATTAAATGAAATCTCACATAATGTGTACACTCGTATTGCACGTGTACAACAGAGTACAATACATTGTAAACGCACCTGACCTCGATACGGCGAAGAATATAACTAAAGTTCTCTTAGAGTATCAATAAATCAAAGAAAATTGCATCACAATGCCTCATGATGCCTCTCAAAAATAAAGAGATAACAGTGTTCAGATATATAGATACATATACACATTATAAGCTGACTCTGGGAGGGGTGGGGTAGTTAGACAGTCAAAATACACACATTTACTAATAAAAATAAGTTTTTATGGAAATCAATTTAGGCTAAGTTGTTTGCATGTGTGCTTAATGTGTTTTCTATATTCAGATTACAAATAATGCCCTTGTGTGCTCTGCACACTTTGAAGATGCGTACATAAAGAGGACACTGGCAGGAAAGAGAAAACTTATCACTGGTGCCGTCCCAACAAAATTTGCCTGGACAAAGACACCTGCAAAGCGCTTGGGACCACAGCGCAGATCAATGCAAGTTTTATTTAAATGAATTTATGTAAATATATCCTGTCCGTATGGACAGGTATATCTGCAGAACTAGTTCTAAGGGCATTTTTCAAATTAACCGATAGATACTGAAATGTTAATTCTCATAGAACTACAATTCTGTAGTAAATGTAATGAGCTTTTCAAATTATATTCATTAATTATTATGTAATATAATTATCTTGTGTTATAATTTAAAGTACATGTAGATTAGTTATGTTTGCACAAGCACCTAATTTTGTTTTTTTTAATTTACAAGAACAAAATGATAAAACCTTTCTTCATATTATTAATTCAAAAGGAAATTTCTCAATTTGATTTTTCAGAATAAATTTAGAAAGAAAATTAAAAATAAGTCGACAAATTCTTTTGTCCAAATTTTCTCAACATGTAATCAGCACATAAAATCTGTACTTTGGTACTGTGTGTGCATATACTCTCAAAATGCCTGATATATATTAATAATCATCTTTAAATACAACTTGATGAATTGTAGTTTTTTAGGTCACCTGAGTCACTCAGGTGACCTATTGCTATCTGTTTTCGTCCGTCGTCGTGCGACGTGCGTCGTGCGTCGTCCGTCGTGCGTTAACTTTTGAACATTTTTAACTTCTTCTCTAGAACCGCTCAACCAATTTCAATCAAATTTGGTATATAGCATCTATGGGTGAAGGGGAACAAAAATTGTGAATTTCATGGTCCCTGCCCCCCTGGGGCCTGAGGGGTGGGGCTAAAACCACCAAAAATAATGCAATCTTTAAAAATCTTCTTCTTTACTCCTGGACATCAAGCAGTCAAACTGTTGGCATCATTGTAATAAGCATTGAGCCCTCTACCAAAATTGTGAAATTCATGGCCCCAGGGTCAGGGGTTCTGGCCCCAGGGTGGGGCTATATAGATCATATAGTGAAAGTGCATTATTTCTTTGAAAATCTTCTTCTCTGCTCCTGGGTATTAAATAAAGTTACTAAGTACATAGTTATGATGAGTAAGAGTGCCTCTTCGAAAATTGTGAAATTCATGGCCCCAGGGTCAGGGGTTCTGGTGTTAGGGCGGGGCTCTATAAATTATATAGTGAAAAAGCATTAATTCTTTGAAAATCTTCTTCTTTGCTCCTGGGTATTAAATAAAGTAACTAAGTATATAGTTATGATGAGCAAAAGTGCCTTTTCAAAAATTGTGAATTTCATGGCCCCTGGGTCAGGGGTTCTGGTGTTAGGGCGGGGCTCTATTGATTATATAGTGAAAATCCATTAATTCTTTGAAAATCTTCTTCTCTGCTTCTGGATATTTAATAAAGTAACTAAGTACATAGTTATAATGAGCAAGAGTACTTCTTCCAAAATTGTGAATTTCATGGCCCCAGGGTCAGGGGTTCTGGTGTTAGGGCGGGGCTCTATCAACTATATAGTGAAAATGCATTGATTCTTTGAAAATCTTCTCCTCTGCTCCTGGGCATTAAGATGATAAACTAAGTACATAGTTATGATGAGGAGGTGGGCCTCTTCCAGAATTATGAAAGCCATGGCCCCTGGGTCAGGGGTTCTGGTGTTAGGGCGGGGCTCTATTGATTATATAGTGAAAATGCTTTAATTCTTCGAAAATCTTCTTCTCTGCTCCTGGGTATTATTTAAACAAACTAAGTGCATGGTTATGATGCATAAGGATGCCTTTTCAAAAATTGTGAATTTCATGGCCCCAGGGTCAGGGGTTCTGGTGTTAGGGCGGGGCTCTATTGATTATATAGTGAAATTGCATTGATTCTTTGAAAATCTTCTTCTCTGCTACTGGAGATTATTTAAACAAACTAAGTGCATGATTATGATAGACAAGGATGCCACTTCCAAAATTTTTAAATATATGGCCTCAGTTTTTGGGGTTCTTGAGGAGGGGGGGGGGGGTCTATTGATTATATAGTGAAAAAGCATTAATTCTATTAATTAATCCTGTCTGCTCCTTAGTGTTGAGCTGATAAATAAATTGCTTAACTATGATGAAAATGGGAGCTTCGAACAGAATTTTTAAATCTTGTGGTCCTAAGGGTCAGGGGTTCTGGCATAATGGGGGGGGGGGGGGGGCTTTTGATAATATAGTGGAAAAGTGTTAATTCTTTGAAGTCCATAGTTATGATGATGAGGGTAACTCTTCCAAATTTGTAAAGTTCTTGACCCTTGGTCTTGGGTTCTGGTGTTAGGGTAAGGCTTTGTTGAATCTGTAGTGAAAATGCATTGTACCTGTGAAATTCTTCTCTGCTTCTGGGCATATCGGAAGCAAACTGAGTAAAAGTTTAAATGATATGAGTAAGCGTATTTCTACCAGATTTTTAAACATCTGGACCATTCGTCTAAGCATTCTGGTCCTGGGCAGGGCTCTATTAATTTGTATTCTACTGAAAGAAGTTATTCCCCTTTTCCATTCACCTTTGATAATTAATCACTGTAAATAATGTATTTGAAAGGTTAATAGAGTAAGATAATTATGCAAGATTGTTTATCGTATAATTAAAAAAGTACTTTCTTAGTTTTAATAATCAGGTAGACCTGTAAGTAATAGATAAATAAAAATGAGACAAAAATAACTTATCTTATTAAAAGTTCTTCTAAGACCATAAGAGAGGTCAATGCTAGAGGTCTTAATATGGGTTTAAAAATAGTACAGAAGCACTAACAGTTTGTTAATAGTCTCCATGGTGATAGTGTTAAGTGGGGGACAGATTAGAACTTAATTTATGAGTTGATACTGAATACCAGACTAATTATTTTGTTGATCCTGATCTTCCTACTTCTCTTGCTTTAGGGCAACAATGCTTCATCTATCAGTGTATTTAATTTCTAAATTGTTGTATTATACTCAGGTGACCGTTAAGGCCCTTGGGCCTCTTGTTAATTTTAATTTTCAGAGTCAAGATTGAAAAGGGTAAGGATGAAAATGTTATTGCATCAGACTCTGTACAAGTTCCACTGGCAACATTTGACCATGACTATGTTGTGCAACAGGAATCAGATTCTTCGAAACTTGAATCGGCTCAAGCAGAACTTAAGCGACTCGAGGAGGAGAACGCAGCTCTAAGAGAGGCAAAGTTTGGATTAGAACGATTTCACAATGACAACAACATGATAAATTTCTACACAGGGTTCAAAGATTACCAAACATTGAAAGCTGTGTTTAGTGCTCTCAAACCAACAGCTACAACTATGATTCGATGGACTCAGATGCAGAGACAGGGAGCAGATTTAGAAAAAGTCAAAAAAACAACTTTCAGTTTGGAAAGTCATCATCTGTCCCTGATTGACGAATTCTTTGTCTTCCTTTGTAGAATTAGACAAGGCTTCCCTGAACAAGATCTAGCAGTTAGATTTTGTGTGTCACAAACATCTATAAGCAGAATTTTGATCACATGGTCAAACTACCTGTATGCTATGCTTGGCAGTTTGCCTCTATGGCCTTCAAGAAGTGTTGTGAATAAGAACATGCCTGAAAGTTTTAGAATTACATACCCATTTACTCGTGTAATACTTGACTGCACCGAGATAAAAGTACAAACCCCTAGCTCAAAAGTTCTTAACTCACAGATTTACTCAAACTACAAAAGCCACACCACATTCAAGGGTCTTGTTGGTATTACACCCTGTGGAACTGTTTCATTCGTTAGCTCTCTATACACTGGAGGGATTTCCGACAAAGAAATCACAACCAGATCTGGAATACTTGATCTGCTTGAAGAGAATGATGATGTCATGGCAGACAAGGGATTTTTAATATCTGATCTACTGCAAGCCAAGAATGCTGGCCTAGTTATTCCTCCTTTCTTAGGAGCAAAAGGGAAGTTTTCCAGGAATGAGGTTGCTACAACCCATGAAATTGCACGTCTTCGAATTCATGTTGAACGGGCAATCCGAAGGGTAAAGGAGTACCACATTTTTGACGGAGTAATTCCCCTGAATCTTGCACCATCAATCAACCAAATATGGACTGTGTGTGTTATTCTGACAAATTTTCGGGGAGCATTATTTTAAGAAAACTACTAGAAATGAGTTAAAACATTATGTATTTTAATTATATTCAAATCTTATGAGTTTACATGCATTAGCATTTTTGCAAATCAGTAATTAAATCAATGCATATTGAAAACCTGATCATATATGTAAAATCTTTTATATTTCATAGTGATTCATACAAAGAAAAATAATTAAATAACATTTATCAATGTTTATTGTTTTGAAATATATTAAAGATTTAATAAAAGAATACATATAAATGTGTTTCAGTGAGAAATAAATTTACAAAAGTGATTCCAAAGGTTACTGTATACGGTGGGAAAAAATAATTTTAAATTTATCTTCAAAACATATGACTAGCAAAGATATTACAAATAAATTATATATTATGCAAACAATTATAATGGAAAGGAAATAGTTTTGCATTGATCCCACACAGTGTAGAATGATTTTAATTCAATTGCTGAATTGTTTTAACATAAAATATAAATTTATGCATTTTATATAATCTGTAAATGGGTTCATGTGTTCACATTCAGTTTATATTGACTATACAATTAATATTATAATAAGAGTGACACATTCAGTTAATATTAGTGCTACAATCATACATAAACAATTACTTGTTCTACAGAAACAGAAAATATTACATGCATGTATTTGTTAGAATCCATGTCAAATAAAATTAACAACACAATGTACATGCTGCTTTCACTGTTTAATCTTTGTGACATATTTGTGGAAGCATTTCCTCAAAGTAGAATTTGTCCAAAGAAGACTTCATTGAATCCCATTTGTCCTGATCAAATGATATTCGTTCCATGTGAAAATCATGTCTACACTTGACAAAAAAGTCACACCATTTCAGTCCAGTTAGTGCCATTTGGCCAATGACCTGGAAATAGTAACCGTGACTGGTCCTCAGTTTAAATGAATGATTGTTCTTGTTCTGTACAAGATATCTACACTCTGTAAATGAGTCTTTGCTCGGACATTTTATTTCAAGGAGTCCATACTCTGGAATTGCATTTGGATCAAACACTTTCCTATCCGGTGATGTGCCGAGATATGGGGCACTAGGGTTTATCACAAACCCACACAGATAGACACTATTGCCTGTTATCTCGCTATAGGTTTTTGCAGCAGCTGGCTCATTTTCTATGCCGAATTTCATCTGAGCCGTCATTATGTTTTTAGACTTCAGAAGTCTGGAAGCAAGAGCTGCAAAGTCTGATCTGCGCGAACATACATCCTTAAACACTGAAGATGTAATTCGGTTTTTTCTGACATCATGCCATGTTTTGTTGTGACTCTGAAGTCTTGTTTGCTCCTCCACTTCTCTGCTGGTATTTTCAGTGACGTGCATTCCTAGTAACATGTTTAGTTGATTCTCAGGCAAAACTGCATTGTAGGCCTGTTGTAAATTTGGATATGGAAAATTGGGATAAATTACATCTGGATGGTTAAGTATGTCTGTGATTGTTGAGTTTAATTTCTGTTGGTATGACAATGGGCATCCAAAGGGTACTGGACCAAATGTTGATTCTACTGTACGTGTTGAAGTGGAGGGCAGAATTTTGAGAATCTAGAGAAACAAATTACTTATAAGTATGTGTATAACATCGTACAAAAATACAGTATTTTTCAAAATGCTATAATTTTATATACTTGTGCTAAAATTGCTAACTTTATTAAATAACACAATTCTTTTCTAATAATTAATGCAATTACTTTGTTACATGGTACAAGTGGTTTATGGTTTTTAAACTTTAAAATAATTAGTTTACCTGCGCATCACTTCCAACAGACTTCAAGTTCAAGATCAACTGCTGAGAGAAATCTGATGAGATAGGTTTCTCAACAGGGCAGTAAATGTTGGGTAGAATGCCTTCAGTGACCCTCTTTTTCTTTTTGGGAGGACCCTGTTGTGGTTTGATTTTAGAAATTTCTAAACTATCCACAGATTTCGGAGCAAGTCCTTCCACTCTACTGGGAATATGCCATGTTTGTGGCAGTGATGTCTTGCTCTGGACTGGTGGAACAGCTGTAAATGTGTAACAAATGTGATAGAAACAATAAATATAATCAAGTATGCATATAAATACTGTTATTGTTTACTGTACAGTGTGTGAATTTCATTGTACTGAAATGTTATGAGCTCAAATTTTATACAAACCTGTTAGTCCAAGTTTCTGGTAATGGGATACCAGGTAGAGAAGACCTAAAGAATGGCTGCAGTGTCCATTCCCTGCTTTGCACTCACATTCTGAACCAATGATTGTAGAGGCATCTGCTGATATTTTCACCTGGATATACATGAATTGATTTTTAAAATTGGATTCTGTTATATGAGATAAAATACTTCTTAATAAGTAGTATATAAAATTTTCAATGAAAACAACATATGTATTTCCCGATTTATATTAAGAATTTTTTTAAAATTCAAAAATATTTTAAAAAATAAAATATTAGAAAAAATTAAGTAGTATTAAGTTTACTAAATGTTTAGTCTGTAATATACCAACTCAAGTTATATTTTTTTATTTGATAGAATCTGTCTATAATTAAATGTTTGAAAAATGTCATAGATTGCTATGAATGGTAACAATTATACATACATCAATCAGGGATGCATATACTAAGTATTTTAGTATTAGTATATACATGTACTTCCCTGCATCAATCAATCAATTAACGATCAATCAATAATCAAATTTTGACCTAGTTTTAATGTTGGTACATATACATGTATTTATTTATATATATTTATGTCAATTGAAATTATAGCTATGAGACAGAATCATATTTAAAACAAATTAATCATTACAGTTATGTACTAATCATTAAGATCAAATATTATTATCAGTATTGATACATGTATATGTGTTCATAAATATATATTGTGATGCTAAATGAAATTCTGGAGAGGAAAAAAAAAACACAAACACACAAAATAAACATAAGTTCAAAGAAAATAAACAACTTGAACACCATCAAACCATTTGAGTATAAGGTGGGTTGTTTTTCCTCATGGATGGATACGCTTTCGATCTGATAAAAATCGTCTTCCCAACAGCCTGGACTTTATTTAAAAGTTTAAACATAAAGTCTCTTCCAAACAGATTACTAGTATATACTGATGGATCGATCGATCAACACTTAGTGATTACTGATCGTCGATTTTTCTAACGTATATAGTCTGGTTAGATTTAACAATCGCAGTTTATGAGTATTATAAGTGTATACAATCAAGATATGGTTTTCAGAAAGAAAAAAAAGTATCGTTAGGCTACTCCAATAATACGATAACATATCACTATCAGATATAAATATAAGATAGATATAATAGATCACAAACCTTCTACGTTGTGTATGTACCCTTCGATGAAATTTGAGTACCCCTTGATTTGTTTCGCTCTTGGTATGCGAGCTACGCTGTTGGCCCATTCATCAATTTTACTCTGCGAAACGCAGGGCATAAGACTTAGATTTTGGTTCCATTCGTTTAGTTTCGTTTTACGCACCTCCATTGTTTGCGCTGTCAGCCTCGTTCTCGTTTCAAAATGGCCGCGGCGTGAATAACAAGTATACAAGTCTGAATTCCTTCATTATTCAACCAATTTAAATCTGTCATAGCCTACTGGGCAACTGGGTGAAGGTAACGCAATTTTTCTTACAAATTCATAAATGTTAACACAAGCTTCCTTTAATTCGTAATTTTAGTATTTTAAAGATTTTTGCCCTTATACTTATGCCATACAAGTTTAAAATTGGTTGAAATCACTCGTTGGACCTCCAATATGGCGGCCAACGGGAAATAACTTGCTAAATTCAGACCTGTCGAAAACTTTCTATATACATAATTTATTATATCTCTAGTAAGGGATTATTACATAAGATATGATGAAAATATGAATATGCATTAATAATTGTGCTGTATGCATATGTTTTGAGGTCATTTGTTATGGTTAGGTCTAATTTTTTGACAAGCATGATATCTTGGTATTTTCTTAACCTTTGATGGAGGTCTCAAGATATAATAGGGATATAAAAAATTGTATGTCTTTGGAGATTGTTTGCTCTGAATTTAGGCAAGTTTGTTAAATCGGTCATTTATGGAAAATCTATATTGTAGGTAACCCATTTGGGGGTGGACAAAAAAACGTCTTTGTTAAAATTTTAAGGTAAAGAAATTACATATTTTCATTTTATTAGCTAAGGTTTTCTACTCTTCTTCTGAAATTGTGGTAATTTTCGTAAAAAAATGACCAAAAACTGATTATTAAAAGATGAAATATGACGTCTGACAGCAAAAAATTAGGTGGTGCTTCGCAGAACCCCATACCTCCAGATATCATCAAAATATTTTGTATAGTATTTTATATTTGTGTTTAGTATAATTTACGCAAAATGTCTTTGATTTATCTGAAAAGGACTTGTGGACAGTTTCGCATGATTTTCTCTGAGACAAGCTCTTAATTCGTATACACCATCCGTAAAGATAGAGTGCTTTTGCTAAAAATGAATAAACACAAATATTTATTTATGAACTAGGTAATATATCTTTTAATTTGTTTAATATGTATTTGTTTCAAGGTTAAAATGTGAAGGGTCAGATTAAGTTCTGAATTTTATTCTGATGATAAATGTCAATTATTTGTATGACATACATATGACTTTTGCTATAAATTTAAAGAAAGAAAAATGGATATCTAAAATGCATTTTAATGCTAAACATATACTTTATAAGTTGATATTTTTTAAATCCATTAAAACGCGAAAATGCTTCTTTTTAGAATTCCAAGATTTTAGAGCATAATTTGTAATTGTAAAAGATTTTTTTTGATAATTATTACACAGGCACTTGTTTCGGTAATAAATTTTTAACCCATAATATAATAATAACACAAGGTATCCAACTCCGAATTACACGGAGTACCCCCCTCCCCCCGAATCGCACTCATTTACACTTTCAGAGGAAATACACTGACAAACTGTTTATACCAATGTTTTCTACGATAATTTATCTATACAACCATATATGGCATGCTTGTTTTTATTTTCTTTAGTCTCCGTAAACAGCGTCAAAACTCTGCTCGTCAAGTGGAAAAGTCGAATTCAACCATGAAATGGTATGTGCTAATCCCGCACAGAGATTTTGATTGGCTAAAAATCTGTTTCTAAAATTACATCGGATAAACATCGTAATGTTTTCAGGGAAAATCAGACGATAACAAGTTCTATTTACTCATGCAATATTTAAACACTGGAATTGAATTTTTAAACCCACTCATTTTTTAATTTTGTTCTCTGTGCGGGATTAGCACATACCATTTCATGGTTGAATTCGACTTTTCCACTTGACGAGCAGAGTTTTGACGCTGTTTACGGAGACTAAAGAAAATAAAAACAAGCATGCCATATATGGTTGTATAGATAAATTATCGTAGAAAACATTGGTATAAACAGTTTGTCAGTGTATTTCCTCTGAAAGTGTAAATGAGTGCGATTCGGGGGGAGGGGGGTACTCCGTGTAATTCGGAGTTGGATACCTTGTGTTATTATTATACTATGGGTTAAAAAAATTATTACCGAAACAAGTGCCTGTGAATTATTACTATAATCGCGGTATATGTGTATGTTGAATATTTTACCATAAAAGTAAAAATATGACAAAACCATTGAAATTCTTTTCATTCCTTTTTTTTTATTGAATCTACATAAAGCAACAAGAGAAAACCCACGTCCTGTCAGAAAAATAGAAATGAACATGCCAAAAATATCTCGTAAACGTATGACGCATCACTCCAGTCTTGGATCATCACCTCCTTTCAATACGCCGTCAAAACTTCTGCTTATGGAACCGAAGCATCAAAGGTATTTTATATTACAAATATCATACAGTGTATAAGCAAAAATAGCATTTTAATGATTCTAGGCCTTTTAATTATTGTACATAAAGTAATGTTATAGCCTAAATTACAATGCTGTTTTTTTGTTTCATATGTTGGTGTTTATTGGTTACTGAACCGAGCAAGGTTTATCTATGAGTTATACTGCAGAGCTGTCTACTGTTAAGGAAATTCTGGATTTATGTTTTAAAATACGGATTAGGATTGGCCTCTGAAAACTATGCTTCAAAATTTATTATTATACATGTATGTATATACATATAGAAAGCACAAAGAAATTCACTTTTTAATATAAGGATACCCACTTCCGCCCCAGTCCGGGGTTGAACTCTCGACCTACGGAATGTGTCTCCTAGCAGTACAGGAACAGCGCGCTAGACCGCTCGGCTATCTATACAAGTCAAAAAACTTGCTTTCGATGCCGATGGAATTCTCGCGGCGCTGCTCTACACTACACGGTCATTGAGAATGAAAGTGAGATACAGTTATTTGGACATTAGTTTTATTAGAGGATCGTTACCGATACACGTTGTTAGCCTGCACAATGAAATTAATTTTTATTTATAAAGTACATTTTACAACAACTCTTAAACTAACATAACTGCCCTAAGTGAAGAAATATCAATATACAAAGCTTTATAAATAAAATTAATTTCATTACAACGTGTATTGGTAACGATCCCTCTCCCCAATTTTGAGAATGTAAAGTTTTAATTTAAATTTTAAGGATAAAAAATTTCAATGAAAGCCCCCCTCCCCTTGTTTATGGAACTTTACATCCCACCAAGTAAACTTTTGAGTTGGGAGAATTAAATTCTTTTCCTTTGTAGGGGGGGGGGGGTAGTCAAAGATTTTTTTTCAGGTAAGTTGTCATTTTTTTCCCTTTTAATGCCCCCTTTTTCAAAATCAATCCTATATATGTGCCTGACATTTATTTTTCTACATTGCACCTAAACTAGAATTAAAATTTCCCAAGTAATACAACTTTTTTTTTTAAAACCCTGTTCCTCTCATTATGTTCGGATAGTACTTCAGTAGATGTGAACAAGTAAGATGGCATGGCTTGCTTAATGAGTGTGTGTCATTTAATCATTGAATCATGAAATAAAACAATTATTGCTGTAACGGTTTTTTCGGTTAATACGATGATTTAGCCACCTTCGAAGTACAATATTCAACTCGCCCTTCGGGCTTGGTGAATATTGTACTCCTCAGGTGTCTAAATCATCGTATTGATCTCAAAAAACAGCAATAATTGTATAGTATCCAATGCATTTGATTTCAATTTCAATTAGATATAAATATGGTTCAATCCAAAATACACAATTATTACTCAAACCTTTGGAGCAATGAGATTTTAAGCATTCCCAAATTGCGGACTTATGTTTATTTTAAAACAACTTTTGGAAGGGAAAATTATGTAGTACTTGATATGCCTAAATATTTACGTTCAATTTTAGCACAATTTAGATGTGGCATTTTACCACTACGAATAGATACCGGTAGATATCATGGGGAACCTGTTAAGGATCGAATTTGCACCTTTTGCTCTAAAAATAATGTAGAAGACGAAATTCATTTTTAGCTCACCTGAGCCAAAGGCTCAAGTGAGCTTTTCTGATCAAAATTTGTCCGTTGTCTGTCGTCGTTGTTGTCGTTGGCGTTGGCGTTGTTGTTGTAAACTTTTCACATTTTCATCTTCTTCTCAAGAACCACTGGGCCAAATTCAACCAAACTTGCCACAAAGCATCCTTGGGTAAAGGGGATTCAAGTTTTTTCAAATGAAGGGCCACGCCCTCTTTCAAGGGGAGATAATTAGGAATTAGTGAAAAAATAATGGCATCATTTAAAAATCTTCTTCTCAAGAACCACTGGGCCAGGAAAGATGAAACTTATGTGGAAACATCCTCAGGTAGTGTAGATTCAAGTTTGTTCAAATCATGACCCCCGGGGGTAGGGTGGGGCCACAATGGGGGATCCAAGTTTTACATAGAAATATATAGGAAAATATCTTTAAAAATCTTCTTCTTAAGAACAGTAAAGCCAAGATTGGTCATATTTATATGGAAGCATCCTCAGGTAGTGTAGATTCAAGTTTGTTCAAATCATGACCCCCGGGGGTAGGGTGGGGCCACAATGGGGGATCCAAGTTTTACATAGAAATATATAGGAAAATATCTTTAAAAATCTTCTTCTTAAAGGACTTATCGCATGTTTCTAAATTATTTGAAATTAGAAGCGTAAAACGTTCCTTATGACCACAGTTTATAAATTTTGTGTTTTTTCTGCGGATAAACCGCGGTAATTAACCAATTATTGACTCAAATGAAAACCGCTGAATTAAAAATCTAAGTTAATTAGATAGCGATCACGTGACCCTGTGACGTCAAAGGCGACAATGGCTGATCAGCTCTTCGCGTAAATCTTACTAAAATGTACGCGATACAACCTGAATTTTCTGCGTTATGGACGACCAAATCACTGATTTTATCGATATGAAATTTAATGTCCAACCTTATATTTTAGAAATGTCAGCGAGAAATAATCTAAAAAATACGTTAACATTGTAAAAATAACAGCGACGATAGCGAGGGAGACGCGGCGAATACGAAGAAACTCGCCATCACAATACAATTTGATTTGTCATTTTATCACATGTATTAACTTATTTGATTCACAAATTTAATATTACACAACTCTGTTATTCTTCCTTTTTTAACATAATTTTAATTTATGCAAGTATACTTTCATATGTTTTGTAAAGGATGGCGGTGTTGAAAAATAATTTTCCGATCATGAAACATTGCCGTAATCAGACCTACATATTTTAAATGTTTGGAATAAAAAAAACGAAAATATCTCAAAATTCTTATACCTTAGAACTAGTTAATGTTTCTATAGTAATTGAAAATCACGTTAGGAATTAATTTTTTCAGCATTTTTCATAATTAACCTGCATTTGTCGTTGATAACTTCGTAAATAGTATGCAACTTCTCATCTCTCTATCACTGAATTGTCGCCTATGACGTCAGAGCAGTATTTCGCCGAAATCCGACTGAAATATGCATATTGCCGTATTTGAATTTCAACTCTCAATATCTCTTAAAATATGCTTTCAACAACGTTTATTGTATTCAGAATTTTAATAAACAAGGTTGTAGATAATATTTTTCATAAAATTAAGATTTTTGAAAAATCATGCAATAAGTCCTTTAAGAACAGTAAAGCCAAGATTGGTCATATTTATATGGAAGCATCCTCAGGTAGTGTAGATTCAAGTTTGTTCAAATCATGACCCCCGGGGGTAGGGTGGGGCCACATAGGGAATCCAAGTTTTACATAGATATATATAGGAAAATATCTTTAAAAATCTTCTTAAGAACAGCAAAGCCATGATTGGTCATATTTTTATGGAAGCATCCTCAGGTAGTGTAGATTTAAGTTTGTTCAAATCATGTCCCCCGGGTGTAGGGTGGGGCCACAATGGGGGATCCAAGTTTTACATAGAAATATATAGGAAAATATCGTTATAAATCTTCTTCTTAAGAACAGTAAAGCCAAGATTGGTCATATTTATATGGAAGCATCCTCAGGTAGTGTAGATTCAAGTTTGTTCAAATCATGTCCCCCGGGGGTAGGGTGGGGCCACAATGGGGGATCCAAGTTTTACATAGAAATATATAGGAAAATATCGTTAAAAATCTTCTTCTTAAGAACAGCAAAGCCATGATTGGTCATATTTATATGGAAGCATCCTCAGGTAGTGTAGATTTAAGTTTGATCAAATCATAACCCCCGGGTGTAGGGTGGGGCCACAATGGGGGATCCAAGTTTTACATAGAAATATATAGGAAAATATTTTAAAAATCTTCTTCTTAAGAACAGTAAAGCCAAGATTGGTCATATTTTTATGGAAGCATCCTCAGGTAGTGTAGATTCAAGTTTGTTCAAATCATGACCCCCGGGGGTAGGGTGGGACAACAATGGGGGATCCAAGTTTTACATAGATATATATATATAGGAAAATATTTTAAAAATCTTCTTCTTAAGAACAGCAAAGCCATGATTGGTCATATTTTTATGGAAGCATCCTCAGGTAGTGTAGATTCAAGTTTGTTCAAATCATGACCCCCGGGGGTAGGGTGGGACCACAATGGGGGATCCAAGTTTTACATAGATATATATATATAGGAAAATATTTTAAAAATCTTCTTCTTAAGAACAGCAAAGGCATGATTGGTCATATTTATATGGAAGCATCCTCAGGTAGTGTAGATTCAAATTTGTTCAAATCATGACCCCCGGGGGTAGGGTGGGGCCGCAATTGGGGATCAAAGTTTTACATAGAAATATATAGGAAAATATCTCTAAAAATCTTCTTCTTAAGAACAGCAAAGCCATGATTGGTCATATTTATATGGAAGCATCATCAGGTAGTGAAGATTGAAGTTTGTTCAAATCATGACCCCCAGGGGTAGGATGGGGCCACAATTGGGGATCAAAGTTTTACATAGAAATATATAGGAAAATATCTCTAAAAATCTTCTTCTTAAAAACAGTAAAGCCATGATTGGTCATATTTATATGGAAGCATCCTCAGGTAGTGAAGATTCAAATTTGTTCAAATAATAATCCCCGGGGGTAGGGTGGGGCCATAATTGGGGATCAAAGTTTTACATAGAAATATATAGGAAAATATCGTTAAAAATCTTCTTCTTAAGAACAGCAAAGGCATGATTGGTCATATTTATATGGAAGCATCCTCAGATAGTGAAGATTCAAGTTTGTTCAAATCATTACCCCGGGGATAGGTTGGGGCCACAATGGTTGATCAAAGTCTACAGAGGAATATATAGGAAAAAGTCTTTTTCTCAAGAACAGAAAAGCCATGATTAGTCAAATTGATATTGAGGCATCTTTGGGTAGTGTAGAATGAAATTTGTTCAAATGAGGGCCCCCCGGGG